GTGGGGGGGGTGGGGGGGGGGACAATTACTCTATCTCTGGATACTCGGTAAACATCTGCAGGTGAATACAAAACATAGGTATGATGTCTTAAAATAAATAATGCACGTTTAATTAACTTACTAACCACATGGCAGCCTGTAAACTAAGCCTTCTGATATTTCATTCTGAGCAATTACCAAAATTACAATGTATCAGTAATGTATTTCAAAAGCATTAGCAGCATTTTAATAGTGTAATGTTTATTTTATCCTCAGAGCTGACAAGTGATGTATGATTTTTACACTCCAATTTTATCACTGAACCTCAGAATAATTCACACATTTCGTCATCCAAATAAAGAGAAATAGTCTGCTTCAATTCCTACATGTACTTTAATCTACTTTTAATTTCATTATACACAAAAGATAATTGACAATAGTCACGTTAGCTTAACCAAAATAACTTCAGCTTTAAACTAGTCGATTTGCGCCAGGAGTTGGGTGGAAAACTAAGGTTAAAATGAAATTTATTCACAAGACGACTGTCGAGTAAGATTGAATACTAGCAAATGCAGACAGTACAATATGTTCACAGGACTAGCTGCATTTTACCTGCGGAAAATGGACAAACCTGGCAGATTAGGCACTATTAAAATGCTGCAAAACTGATGCTTTTAAAATACATTATTTGACTTTCTAATACAATTGGTGAAAAGCAACACAGGTATAAAGACTGAGCTTTCAATAATGGCAGAGATTAACATACCAAGTGAAATGGGAACCAGTTTAAAAATCACCACCTTCAAGGTTTATTCATCGAGAAGATTAGATTCTCTGATGGGAAACAGTCAACACACTACAAATATGTTACACAATTGAGAGGTGCAGTCATTTTCCATCTTGAACAGAGCACATCCCGACAATATCATCGCCATTACACCAAACTCTGGAGGACTGAAATCCTAACAAAATGTTTTACACATTACAGTAAGACTAAAGCAAACTAAATGACAAAACGAAAATGTGGATACACGTGTAGTTCTTTACAAAACGGTAAAATAGAAATTATACAAACGGTTTAATTTATACATGTATCGGAAGGGGCAGTGGGGGGAATCTAGCCTCAGTTTTCACAGCAAACTTATTTTGACAGATCCAGACCCATTCCGTCTTTCTCTTTTAGAATTACAAACTGAAGAGGTGGAGGGGTGCAGGCGTTTATTCCGGACATTCAGTACTCATGTGAGTCGAAAAGTCAAATGTACCACTTTGGCACAGAGGGCGGGTAAAGTTGGAGGATTCTAAATACAAGGGCTAAAATGCCCGTTTACAGTTAAATATTTATCAATGACGCTTTCTGGAATGTCCAAAAGCTCTGAAAACTGATGAAACCAGAGTCCATTCAAAAAGTAAAAAAACAAAAACAAAAAAAGACTATTTAGTCATCAAATGTAATTTTCTTCCCTTGGGGCTTGGCTCCAAATCCTCCACCACCTCGTCCACCTAAAGAGATAATAGTTA